TAAGAAAGAAACAGACTAATATTAGCGTAGATGCCATTCTTCTTACGATGTAGCAAGTACATCGGGTGTTATGAGAAGTGTTCCCGGTTCCGGTTGACCTAATTAACGCAGCCTAACAATCCTTTAATGGATTTGAATTATAGAAATGTGATAGTGTGTTATGTGTAAGCCAGGTTAAAGAGATGGGTCTTTAATCTAGATGTAAACTGAAAGAATGTGTCTGCCTCCTGAATAATGTTAGGTAGGTTGTTCCAGAGTTTGGGCACTAAATAGGAAAATAATTTGCCACCCGCAGTTGATTTTAATATTCTAGGTATTATCAAATGGCCAGAGTTTTGAGATCGCAGCGGACGTGAAGGACCACCATACTTGGCCACATGTCACGTCACTTTTTCACTTTCACTAATTAGCAAGATTTTAAAATGTATACAATGTTTAACAGGGAGCCAGTGATGTGTTGACAGAACCAGGCTAATATGGTCATACTTCCTGATTCTAGTAAGAACTCTAGCTGCTGCATTTTGGACCAGATGGAGTTTGTTTATTAAGCGCGCAGAGCAAACACCTAATAAAGCATTACAATAATCTAACCTTGAGGTTTCTGCATTTGACATTGAGAGCATAGGTCATAATTTAGATATATTTTTATGATGGAAAAATTTGGTTTTACAAATGCTAGAAACGTGGCTTTCAAAGGAAACATTGTTATCAAATAGCACACCTAGGTTCCTAACTGATGACTAAGAATTGACAGAGCAGTCATCAAGTGTTAGACAGTGTTCTAGGTTATTACATGCCGAGGTATTTGGTCCGATCATTAACACCTGTTTTTTTTTCCAGAATTTAGCAGTAGGAAATTACTAGTCATCCAGTTTTTTATATCAACTATGCATTCTGATAATTTTGCAAATTGGTATGCTTCGTCAGGCTGCAAAGAAATATAGAGCTGAGTATCGTCAGCATAACAGTGAAAGCTAACAACATGTTTCCTGATGATATCTCCCAAGGGTAACATGTAAAGCGTGAAAAGCAACGGCCCTAGTACTGAGACTTGTGGTACTCCATACTGCACTTGTGATGGTAGAATCTTGAATCAAGATGGTAAATCTTGATGACAAAGTAAATAAGAAAAACATCTTGGTACTACACTTGCACTTGAAAAAAGCCACTTGGCTCACAGTTCTCTGCATTTTCTCAGACTTTTTTAAATCTGACAGCTCCTCTCATATGGCTTTATGATATAGTGAGTTCATAGCTAGCACATAATCCAGGTATTATTCGACCTACTAGTGTACTATTCAAATACCGCATAGTGGGATGTTAATTATTTTATGTACTGCTTTTTGCATGCTATATACTATGGTATATGTGGGAACTGACTCGTAGCATAAAGTCGTCTTCATGCACCATATTTGAATATGCATATGCAATAAAGATTTAAATGCTGTAAAGGAAGACATGGAATATAACGCATCGAGTCGTATGGACTACTTTAGTGGCACGTATGGTGCTTTATTGTCTCTTTTAGAGCTTGGCAGCCCTGGTAACCTTTTACTTTAATTGAATGGGAACTATTCCTAATTGCATTATATAATGAAATAATATTTGATAATTTTATTAATTAAATATTATAACTCAATTTAATTATACATTTTAATTGTGAATTAATTGAAGTGAAGTGACATGTGGCCAAGTATGGTGACCCATACTAGGAATTAGTGCTCTGCATTTATCCCATCCAAAGTGCACACACACAGCAGTGAACACACACACACCGTGAACACACACCCGGAGCAGTGGGCAGCCATTTTTTGCTGCGGCGCCCGGGGAGCAGTTGGGGGTTCGGTGCCTTGCTCAAAGGCACCTCAGTCGTGGTATTGAAGGTGGGAGAGAGCGCTGTACATTCACTCCCCCCACCTACAATCCCTGCCGGTACGAGACTCGAACCCGCAACCTTTGGGTTACAAGTCTGACTCTCTAACCATTAGGCCACAACTTCCCCAAAAACTGTGAACTGAGTCTATAAAGATAAAGAGTTATGATATACTTTGGAATAAATATCTAAAGGCTGTTGACATTTAAACAGTAATTGTCTCTATTTAGCTTATGCTTTCTATGTCCAAACTGATTTGTAGCCTATTGTCTGCTTGGATAAACCTAGGGTTATGTGCTTTGGTTAAGAGCACACTGACATTTTCTTGGGTCACATCTTCTCCGAACTGAACCTGCAGTTATGTGTTAACAGTTACCAGCCTTAGCACACTCACTTATGTGTATTTTACATTGCTTATTCAGTCAGTTCATTTAAGAGAGAACATTAAATGGTAGTAAATGAGAAAACTAAAGCAATCATTTAGCCAGCAATTTGAGAAATCTAATCACTAATAGTGTATTAAATCCCACCAGTGAATGCATGGAGCAGTCATGCACTTTCATAATTACCTTCAAAACACATCATAATAATGCAGTGACTCACTGGGTTTAATGAACATACTTTCCGACATGATTTCCAGATGATTGGCAGCTGGAATTGAGATATATTATATATTATAGATATAAATATTATTTAAACCTTGTAGAATATAAAGATGCTATAAAACCACAGATGTGTGGAAATGTGCCGAAATGCCATACATGGAATGTTTTTTCTTTATATTACTCAATATTTCATGAGGCCGACGAGTGAATAACAAGTATTTGATGTGTGACTCATGTCCTCCACATGTGTGAATTGTACCCTTCAACACCCTTCACAAGGGTGACTGATGATCTTCACATAATTGACTGATGATCAGTATTCTCTGTGCACACGAACGCTCTCACACAAATGAGTTCAATTGTCCAGAGCACCACCGAGTGGTACAAGTCGAGTACTTGTTCTTTATTGTAGGTCAGTCTATAAACACCCATAAACTACAACCACACATAATAGTTGTTCACGATCAAGAATATATTTGTATAGACAGATTGTTTAGTGGCAAAATGGGAAAGCAGTAATCAGGAATGATTGTTTATTGATTAATGATGAGTCTTAATGGTTTATATGTTGAAATAAAAACAGAGATAAAGTGCTCAATTATCAGCGGTTACTCCACTGAGCAAACTGTACTGAGCAACATACTGGCTGTAGATGCATATATGAAAGTATATTGTAGCAGTTTTTCACTTGCATGTTATTTTATCAAGTGGGTGTCTCTGCTTTCAGTCGGTCAAACAGGCGTGTGACATGCAGTCACAGCCAGTGACGGCAAGGACTTGGTGGTGTGTTTGTGTGCCGTTAGCGCAGCGCAGGGGAACATTCATGGGCACGGTGCCTGTAGCCGAGCAACACACACACTCGCTCTCGACCGTGTGCTTGTCCAGTGAGTACATAGACTTGCTGCCACACTTTCCCTGTGGGTGAGAAAAAAGACAGATAAATAATACGTACATAGCTTCTTGGTATTGTTGCAATAAAATATAAAAATGTATCGACTTACCTCGCAGTACGTGAGTTCTATCTTTTCTTCTGATTGGCAGTCATCCACTCTAATGTAATTCAGCAAACCCACAGTTCTTCTGCATTCTGGCTCAGTACCTAAACAGACATATGCACACATCATGTTCAGATCAGTCGGATAGAGTAGGGCTGCATGATTTCAGGGAGAAATGCAGTATTTTTTTCTGATAAAAATTGTGATTTAAATAAAAAGAATCCAGGTTTGATGTGCTTATTTTTAGGGCACAATTTGGCCAAAATGTGATTATATATCAATATTGCTATACAATAATTATAATAATAATATATAAAAATCACTAAACAAAATAAGAAATATTATTCCCGTACTATTTCACTGTAAGATAAAAAAAAAAGTATCTAAGAAATTACCCATACAATTTGATTTGGACCCATACAATGTATTTTTGGCTATTACTACAAATATACCCCAGCGACTTAAGACTGCTTTTGTGCTCCAGAGTCACATATATTTAATTAAGTGGCTGTCTTTGATAATCTCACTAATCCATATTGCGATTTTTTTATCTGAGTTTTATTTCAGTTAATCGTGCAGCCATAGGATGGAGTTTATAAAGTGAGCAGCATGTATGAATGATGGTTTTGGTGGTTGTTCTTACACATCTCACAGCAGGTGTCTCCAATCTGGCTTATTTTACCCTGTGGATAAAGAATACATTGTTTCACTTTCATTATTGTGCAACACAATAAATGTGGTTTATTAGAAGTAGAATATGTTCCTGGATTGGTGTTTAGGGATTGGTAGATTTAGGATTAGGAATGGAGTTTGGCATGCAATCGTTTGATAGCAATGTTGGTCTAGGATTAGCAAAGTAAAGTGTATCTGTGTGTGTGTGTACCCCATGTTCCAGACAGCGTTTACGGTCAAACGGGGGACATGTTGTCACAAGTGTCTCCAGCACCAGTTCTTCATCCTTATTCACACTGCATGTGTGTTTAGTGCAGCCATCTGTACGTGTTGTATTTGCCTGAACACACACACAAATGTACACATTTATGACACTATCTGAAAATCAATAGAACATCCGGAGCATTTACAGCAGGGGTCTCAAACTACCGGCTCACGGCAGAAGATAATTTCATATGACTCCTCCTAAATGTGAAATTTAGACTGCAGATCACTTCACTTTCTGCATTTTGGTTTGGTTTTCCTGTAGTTTTCTTAAATGATTGATCAACAGTGATAATATATACAACTATTCAAAGGTTTGGGGTCAGTTATATTTTTAAACATTTTTGAATTGCCTTTTCTCACAAAGGCTGCATTTATTTGATAACAATATAGTAAAAACAGTAATATTGTGAAATATTACAACTTAAATGATTGTTTTCCTATTTTAAGATATAATTTATTCCTGTGATGCAAAGCTGAATTTTCAGCATCATTACTCCAGTCTTCAGTGTCACATGATCCTTCAGAAATCATTCTAATATGCTGATTTGCTGCTCAAGAAACATGTATTATTATTATCAATGTTGAAAATCTCTTAATATTTGTGTGGAAACATTTTTTTCAGGATTCTCTGATGAATAGAAAGTTCCAGAGAAGAGAGTTTATTTAAAATAGAAATATGTTGAAACATTATAAATGTCTTTACTGTCACTTCCGATCAGTTCAATGGGTCCTTGATGAATAAAAGTTTGTATTTATTTTAAATGGTAGTGTATATACTTCATGGGTGCATGTAAAATGTTTGAAACAGTTCTTCCAAGCAAAGCTGCAGATCTTAAGCTTACTAAACATATCACTTTCATTATTGTGCAACACAATAAATGTGGTTTATTAGAAGTAGAATATGTTCCTGGATTGGTGTTTAGGGATTGGTAGATTTAGGATTAGGAATGGAGTTTGGCATGCAATCGTTTGATAGCAATGTTGGTCTAGGATTAGCAAAGTAAAGTGTATCTGTGTGTGTGTGTACCCCATGTTCCAGACAGCGTTTACGGTCAAACGGGGGACATGTTGTCACAAGTGTCTCCAGCACCAGTTCTTCATCCTTATTCACACTGCATGTGTGTTTAGTGCAGCCATCTGTACGTGTTGTATTTGCCTGAACACACACACAAATGTACACATTTATGACACTATCTGAAAATCAATAGAACATCCGGAGCATTTACAGCAGGGGTCTCAAACTACCGGCTCACGGCAGAAGATAATTTCATATGACTCCTCCTAAATGTGAAATTTAGACTGCAGATCACTTCACTTTCTGCATTTTGGTTTGGTTTTCCTGTAGTTTTCTTAAATGATTGATCAACAGTGATAATATATACAACTATTCAAAGGTTTGGGGTCAGTTATATTTTTAAACATTTTTGAATTGCCTTTTCTCACAAAGGCTGCATTTATTTGATAACAATATAGTAAAAACAGTAATATTGTGAAATATTACAACTTAAATGATTGTTTTCCTATTTTAAGATATAATTTATTCCTGTGATGCAAAGCTGAATTTTCAGCATCATTACTCCAGTCTTCAGTGTCACATGATCCTTCAGAAATCATTCTAATATGCTGATTTGCTGCTCAAGAAACATGTATTATTATTATCAATGTTGAAAATCTCTTAATATTTGTGTGGAAACATTTTTTTCAGGATTCTCTGATGAATAGAAAGTTCCAGAGAAGAGAGTTTATTTAAAATAGAAATATGTTGAAACATTATAAATGTCTTTACTGTCACTTCCGATCAGTTCAATGGGTCCTTGATGAATAAAAGTTTGTATTTATTTTAAATGGTAGTGTATATACTTCATGGGTGCATGTAAAATGTTTGAAACAGTTCTTCCAAGCAAAGCTGCAGATCTTAAGCTTACTAAACATATGGCTGTTTTATTCTTTTGGCCATTAACCATGTTCATTGGCACGTAGAGGTAGTTATTGGTGAGAGGGGGGATTCAAACCTATATCTTCCACACTGATTATTCTGGCTATTGTGACATTGACCCATGACTCTGTCTGCACATATTTATTACTTTCAGAGTGACCAGCTGTCTGTCAGGTCGTCGGATGCTACATTCAGTTGCTACACAACGGCCACAGCAAGCATTAGGTATGGGCTCCAGCGTATATCCCTATAAAACAAAACACATGTTACTATATTCATACATACAGGGCTGACAGTCCTTTTTAGAGACTGTTTCCATAGAAATGAAGACTCATCATCATGTCATATTTAATGACTGTCTTTTTCCATCTCATTTTCTTATTCAAAAGGCGTTTGAGAACCATGCCGTTTGGCTTTATGGACGTCAAACCTGACACATTTTGGTGCAGCATATCCAACATAAAAATGTGAATGAAATCGAAGAGCTGCTTTTTAAAAGTTATGCTCCTTGCATGCAAAAGCAGCTTTGGATGTCTCCAAACATGAGCAAAACATCTGCTTTTGTGCTTTATGGATGAAAGAAAGTCATACGGGTTTTAAACAACATGAGGGTGAGTAATTGAGTGAGAGAATTGTCATTTTTTGGGTGAACTACCCCTTTAATAATCTTCAGAGTGAGGGTTTTACCTCTGAGCAGGGGGAGCAGCTCATCTTCCTGCAAGAGAGCCGATAACTCCTCTTATCTTTCACACACTCGCAGTGTGTGCACACATCCACCATCACTCGCTCTCCAGCCTACTCACACACACACACAAGGAGTAAGACCCCAAAGTCAATCTGTTATGCACCAAGACATCTGCACACGGCACATTAGTATTCTGTATGTTAACTCAACGTCTTTACCGCAATAACCGTTTGATTCAGCACACAGACATCCATTGGAACTGCAGAAAGAAAAAAACTGCATTAAAGTCTAAGGAAAGATGACAGAGAGCAGCAGTGAACGAGAAATGTGTGTGTGCAGGGTCCAAAATGAACACTGCAAATGGGATTTGGCGAGTAAATAAAGCCTCTTCATGGTTTTTCTATTATTAAGAATCAACAGCTTTATTCAGAAAATTCATTAATGGACATTTTTAAAAAGACTTGAGGAATGTTATAATATTTATCAATTATCAACCTGAAATTGCTCGTATAATAGCTATATTTTATCACTGTAAGAAAAATTTTTTTTTTTATATTTCAACTATGACTTTGCCTTTGCTGCTTATTTGGCATGAAATAAATAAATACATTAAGAATCAGATTAAATGTTTCTTATAAATTGTTTAAATAAAACTCAATTGAGATTCTCCATTTATATTCAATATATCCAATATTGGCTTGTGTTTATCAATTAACCAATTGTGTATATATAATTGTTGCCCTCCTTAAAGATTTAGATGATCATGCAACACTCACCTAAAGGAATAGCGATTATGGCAAAGATTTAACTCTTCAAATGTCTTGAGTTCTTTCCTTTTAAGAGGTCAAGAGTGTGAATTCCTAATATTTAGTGTTTTTTGTCACCAATATGCAAAGAAAATCAGCTAAAAAACTGCATTGTCATGTTTTAATAAATATTAAAATTAAAATATATGTATTACAATTAAAAAATATTAAAATTAAACAAATAAAATAAAGTGGTTTCGTTGCAGGTCATAAACATTTATGGTGTAAATCTGATCAGTTAATCTACCATTGTGTGACATTAAGTTTATTTTCTATGTTAGTTGTGTGTGTGTGTGTGTGTGTGTGTGTGTGTGTGTGTGTGTGTGTGTGTGTGTGTGTGTGTGTGTGTGTGTGTGTGTGTGTGTGTGTGTGTGTGTGTGTGTGTGTGTGTGTGTGTGTGTGTGTGTGTGTGTGTGTGTGTGTGTGTGTGTGTGTGTGTGTGTGTGTGTGTGTGTGTGTGTGTGTGTGTGTGTGTGTGTGTGTGTGAAACTGTGTACCACAGTGGCAGGTCGGGCAGCAGTCTTCTACTGTATTGCACTGGAGCTCTGTGCCCAGTGGACAGGTTGGCGTGTCCATGAGGTGGCAGGACACGTTTGTATGCTGGATGAACACTTCCTCATTGACCTGTACACATTCGCTCCACACACATCTGTCCTGCGGAGACACCCACTGCTCTCCCACCTGCACACATGTGGAGTTAAAGAGAATGTCTTTCAGATGTAAATGCAGAGTATTCAAACACAGACAGAGAGTAGGAGGTAAAAGACATTAAATACTCGCCTGTCTCAAATGTCCTCCTTCCACGCAGCTGGATTTACGGCAGTGACCGCAGCACTCGTCCTCTGAGTGAGAGTATGTGGTTCCCTACATACACAAAATCAATGTGAAATCATAATCAGCCCTTATTATTTAGCTATAAATGTCCATGGACTTATTGTGCATGACTCATCACTGCCTGTTATTGTAAGGGAAAATGTACTTGTTTCTTTCAACAAAATGTAATAGCTTTTCTTCACTTTTAAATTGTTTCCTCTTGTTAACATGACCAAAGGTTGAGGGATATTATATTACGTAGATTTTGACATTTTTTGAACAAAGTACTGTTGCGAGTAGCTGCCTAGTTATTTGGTTGCTAAGGTGCCAGACAGGTTTACTGACTCAATTCAAAAGAGTCTATCATATTTTGGTCACTATATGGGAGTCTATGGGGTTATATTACACAATTTTCCACCATGCCTTGCCAGCATGAAATGAAAATTCAACCTGTCTATTTTCTAAATGCTTGTTATTGGTCTTAATGTGAATGATTCATACATTCTTATTTTTTAACTATTTTGTTAATGTCAAATCTAAATAACTCAAATCTTCCCATAAAAGACTTCTCTCTGGTGATGCATGTCGGATTTCTCCAATCATTTAGCCCGCTTAAACCCTGTCTCGTTCTTACCTATTTATCCCATTTTTGAGTGCAACACCCACATCTCAAAATCCAATAAACATCCAATAGAAGTGCCCACCCTTCATTTTTGGTTTTCAAATAATCCATTTGACTTGGATGTACGACAAAATATATATGATATATAGATATGTTTTTACTTCCATTTCATTGCGACTTTGAATGAAACCACTTTTAATGGTTTTTGTCCATTCATAAGTGCAGAACAATGTAATACCTGAGGTTAGGATTTAATTAAATCCCTTATGAAAGTATGCATAATAATGTTGAATGCCTTATAAAAAAAAAACAGTCATAATATCATAAACTGATGAAATCTAGTCCATATGAATATTCATACAGCATGTCACAATACAGAAGTTAAGTGCATTGTAAATGCCACTACATGTCATCTTTTAAAGTGACTTATGATCATTATAATATATTCAGTGTTCATAAAAATGAATACAATTCATAACATTTCACAAATGTATATGCAGCCCTGCATCTTGGAAAAAATTTTTGATTTGCAAAAATACCTAATATCTAATTTGAGGATGCTGATTTAAAAAAAATATTAATAAAAACATTCCATGAATAATATATACAGCAAAATAATAAATAAATAATATACAGCATATGTATCATTATTAATGCACTTATCAAAATAACAAAAGCAGTCAGTTTTCAAAAGTTCCCCTAAAATTAAAAAGAAACAACTATTGGATTTAATCCAGCAAATATGATCCAGGGCGGTGATATTTTTCAAACAGAAAGATAGAAACTAAGTTTTGTAGGACGTACCAGAGGACAGATCTGGTTGCAGACGGGGTCCACACACTGAGCGATGTGCAGGCCGGTCTGTCTGTCTGCTTGCTCCGTGCAGGTGCAGGTTTTACACTTCTCATCCCACCTGCTACCCACCTGGTAGACCACAGTGTCCACCACACACACCTGCACATATAAATAGTCGATTACATGCTGATTGCAGAGTACACTCATCAGGACATGGTGCTGCAAGGGCAAGTGAATAACACATGCGCAGCGAGAGCGCTAAAGCGTGCCAACCTTATCGGGCGTGCAGGTGACCTCTATGCAGTTGCAATCATTGGCAGTTGTCTTCATGATGTAACCCGAGGGGCAGGTGCGAGTGATGTTCTGACAGTAGCACACACATTCATATGAATCGCAGCACTCTGACGGTGTGACCGACAGCTTCTTGTATGCAGGGCAGGATGGTTTTGTTGTCACAGGACACTGATCCTTTTTGCAAACTGAGAGAGGGCGGTGAAAGAGGTTGATGTGATTGAAAACCATCTTTGTGAAACGAATGAGAATATGTGTGTGTGTGTGTGTGTGCTCTCACCACACTGGTAAACTGGCAGACAATCTCCAGGGTTTGTGAGGACGACACTGAGCCCGTGATCGCAGTGAGGGGGATCTGACCGCTTACAGTTCGGGTCACACACTACAAACACACACAGTAGATTAGCAACACTATATTGTAGTAGTGGCATCAGATGTCATCATATCTGTGAGTATGAGTAGTGAAAACATAACATATCTAGGGACCTATGATGCAGAAAACGCAAACCGAATCACGGAATCCAGTCATAAAAATGGTTTTACAGTATAAGACAAATTTTGGATGAATAAATCAAAAGTAGGGCTGTACACTTAATCAAATCACAATATGGACTAGTGTCTGAATATGAATGCACAAAAAGACTTCTGTTTAAATATGAAGTCTGCATATTCTGCATGTCTCTGTGTGGCGCGGTTATGTATACATACTCAAGCACAAAATTGAGTGATTACACAAGCTTATTGATTCAATTAAATATATATATACATATACATATATGTACATTATTTTTGGATTCTCTGTGTTAGATGTGTATTCTCAGCTCACCACACTCATATTCAGGGCAGCACTTAGATCCCGTCTTCTCCCGAAGAACCTCACATTGTCCACACTCTGGAGCTGTAGCACAGCAACAGTTGCCATGACAACACACAATGAGAAACCACTTCAAGAAATGAGGCTGTTAATCGTGTAGTGCACGAGAGCAATAGTGAGAGACAATGTATACACATTGTGTCTTTACCTTTAGAGTTGGTGCAGGGTAACGCTGTGCAGTTAATGCGCTGCTGATCCAGACACACACACAGAAGACAGGGGTTTTCCTCAGGATTCCAGCTTTCCATAAACTGAAGTGCACACACACACACACACACACTAAAATCAGGAGACTGACAGAGGCTTATTGGTTTTATAAAGTGGTGGCAATAGCAATATCATAAAGGCATGATGTTTAATAAATGGTAAAATCAACATACTTTGTGAGTTTTCCCATGGTGGTCCACACACTGGCTGCAGGTTTCTTTGCTTACACACTTATCTCCCATTAACACTGACCCTTCAGGGCAGAAACAGCCTTCTGTGGGAGTTTTCAAGCACACTGATCCATTGCCCTTCATTAAACCATCACCCATCATGTCACCAGGACTGAACTGGCTCCGTCCACACTGCTCCAAACATCCGGTTCGACAAGCGGCATACTCCATTGAGTCTGAGCATGACATGGCTACACACAGAAAATGTATTTGACACTTCAATTCCAATTAAATGTAGAACACAAATTATTAATGACATAAAATGTTGTTCATAACGTATTTAATTCTGTCAATGCAATATTTTCCAGTAAAAAAGAGAATATACAGTAAGAAATTATGTGGGGAGAGATTTGATTTTATCCATCTGGAAAATAAATGTTTGGATATAATGTAATTGCAATATCATATTTTCCCACATGTGTGACTTGTGTGATTGGTTGCAATCACAGAAAGGAAAATTGGAGAGGTGGAGGAAGTTCTTAAATTTTTTTGAAAACCTTTTTCTTTTTTCAGAATAATTTACACTGATGAATTATGAGGATACATTTTGATTATCTCAAATTCTGATCACTATTTACTCACCTTCATGTTGTTCCAAACCAGTTTTTTTGTTTTTCATGAAACACAAAATTGTCATGCGTAGAAAAATTGTCATGCAGCTTGAACTGCAAGCAACATTCATAGAGACCAGGGACTGTCCAGCTCAAAAAAGGACAAAAACACCAAATGATTTTTCAATTATTATTTTATCTTTAAATAAATTAATTCTTTATTTGTTCTTTTTATTTAAAAATATATTTTTATTTTTCATTTTCTAATTCCATTTTTGTTTCTTTTTTAATCTTCTAAAGAGCAGTGTTATTGTTAACCAAAATGAAAACCTTTAAAATGTTTTTCCTTAAGATGAAGTACTAAAATTACTAAAACTAAAAGAGAAATAAAAATTAATTTAAAGGGATAGTTCAAAATTCTGTCATTAATTACTCACCCTCGTGTCGTTCTAAACCCGTAAGACCTCTGTTCATCTTCGGAACACAAATTAAGATATTTGATGAATTCTGAGAGCTCTTTGACCAGGTCCAAGGTCCAGAAACGTAGCAAGGAGATCGGTAAAATAATCCATGTGACATCAGGGGTTCGAAGATGAACGGAGGTCTTACGTGTTTAGAATGACATGAGGGTGAATAATTAATGACAGAATTTTCATTTTTGGGTGAACTAACCCTTTAAGCAAAATAGAAATATTTAAAATAAAAACAAATAAATTGACAAAATTACAAAACTTTTTAAATTACATAAAAAAACAATATAAAAAAATATAAAAATAAAAGCTAATTCAAAATATTAATAAATACTATAATAGTACTTTTATGCTAATATAAAAGAGTAGATTATTAGTGATTATTAGTCTTTTTATCACAAAAATCTGTGGTATGTCTTCACAAGACTATAGCTCACAAGACTTCTTTTATAGTACTTCTATAGTGTTTTATTGTCCTATTGGAGTTTGGTGGCTATGAACTGCTGTTGAATGGTAAAAGTGGTGTAAATATGTCTCTTTTTGTAGTCATAACAGCGTAAAGGTTTGGAACAACAGGAGGGTGATTAAATAATGCCATCATTTTAATTTTTGGGGAAGTTATTCCATAATACCATCCACTAGATGTATGCTTCCACATTAACTTTCTTTCAAGCTTGAGACTTTCATTACTGCACACACAGATCTCTTGTAATTCCTGTTTGTTCTCTTTCTAAGGCACGTTGATCAAAGTACCACCTTCTCACTGAACTGAGACATGCAGGGTCCTCGCGCACTTCGCTTCATGACTCATTAATCACAGAAGACTCACGGCAGAGGGTGGGCGTCCTCCAGTCCACACACACTCCCTGTTGACGGCACACGCTGCTGTACGCAGTAACAAGGTCACACACCGCATTAGGCTGGCAGGCCACGGTCCGACAGATCTGCACATAGTCCTGCAGGGGGACCAGTGCGTGACAGTGGCTGAACACCTCAGAACTTAACACATCACAGCCCTTCGCCACACCTGCAGTACATGACTGAACCTCCTGATGCTGGACACACTCGCCCAGAGCCCACCCCTTCAGGTACATGTCAGGGTCTGTGGTCACACTGCCGTCAGATAACAGCAGACCCGTCTGATCATCAGAGCAGGAACCTGAGAGAGAGACGGACCAGTTATGTACATCACACAATGGGTGGTTGGGAAAAATTGTATGGGAGGTTAAGAAAAATGTAAAAAAAAAAAAAAAAAAAGGCCCTATTTTGATTCATGGGTTTCATGTAATACCACACACCACAGGATGTTGAATTGGACTTTAAATTAGAATGACAGGAAGAGGAAGTGCAGTTCAAAGAAATTCGGCATAGTCACGTTTTATTAGTTTTTTTTAATTATTATTATTAAATTTAAATTAAACATTTGAAGAAATAAACATTACTATTAACTATTAAAATAAATATTAATTTCTAGCGTGTATATATATTATATTTTATAATACATTGTATATAATACAATATTATATATATTCAATTCTTAAATTCAAATATAATAATTTGAAAGAATATACATTTTAAATATTGAATTAAATACAAATTTCTATAGGTGGCATTACATAGATTATTATTATATCACTTAAGATGGCGCAGGCCGATAGGTCTAACCAATCTGATATCACCACATCATTATTCACATGGCACAGCTGATTGGTTTCTTTTCACATCTGCAGCCAATGAGCTTGCTTCTCAACATTCAAATATTTGGCTAGTGCTTGCTGTAACAGTTGCAGCGCGCTTCAGAAACCCTCCACCTTCCCCAGCTCCACCTGTATAGATCTGCTATGGGGTGATTTCATGTATGTTATATATGGGGGTTATTTCATATTTGTGCAGCAGCAGTATTTCCTACATGCTCACAGCAGCATGTCTGTGGATGTATTGGCAGTAGCAAGTCTCGGCAGCAGCAGCGTAGCAGATCTATTCCGCCAAGACCAACACATTAATATTGACATGTATCTTACTGTGCTAAACTCTGAGAGTTGTCATGACAGAAGTGCTAATATCATCTAATGGAAATACCCCATATGATTACGAATAAATAAAAACATATTAACAAATGTTAAACAAAAGCCCTCAGAGCAGATATATAAATTTCTTTGAATTTCATAATTCAATAATTCTTCAAATTTGAATTTGACAGTTTTGCATGCAATCTTAAATTTAAAATTTAAATGAAATTTAAAATAATTAATTTTGAATACCACACGACATGACACAGGCAGACTTATACTCTCCTAAACAATCACACTCAAAAAATTACTGTCGTAAGCTTAAAGGAAGTGTATTTACCACATAAGCCAGTGGTGTTAGGTTTCATGGTGATGTCCATATTGACCATGAACTCATTGCTGTGAGGAGTGAAGGTGAGTGTGAAACCATGCTGCTCTGATCTCAGCTGGTGCAGTATTGCACCAATTTGTGTCACAGTCACTCCCTCACTTCTGAATGGCACTGCAGTAATCACACCGCCCACAGTCACCTGCAGTACAGAGAAACATGTTGACCCTCTTTGCTAATTTAGTGAACTCTTAACTTTGCATGCTTTTGCAATTTATCAACCTTCATGTCATCCCGTAGCACCACACTCGTTCCACCCTTCCTTAGCTCCAGACTCTTCATGCAGATCTGATTGGGTGAGCTTTGACAGGCAGCTGTATGCAACACTAGCTCCACCCCTCCTGAGCGAAGCAGCAAATAGGAGCAAGCGGCTCTCAGTTTCAGAGCCGCACCCGAAAATGACACAACGTGACTAGTGGAGCTGCCCATGCAACTACCTGTAGGAATGGAAGTATGCATGTTTTTTATATTGCATTTTCAATTTTATAATGCATAAGGCAGCAAACAACTTTTTAAACAGTAGTACACTAAATTGTTGTCACTTGACTTGATTGCATTTTTAAGCCAAGTTTGTGAAAAAATTGCTACTTTTGGCTGTCCAATCAAATAATGAGACAAGAAAACAACTGTTGAAACCTACAGGTGATATTACTTAACACTGGAAGGTTGTGGTGCATTGCACTGTGTGATGAGATTAGTAACAGGATTGGTTGCTGTATAGTGAGGGGTGTGTGTTCGTACAGGGACAGGTCCAGGTACAGCCGCAGGTGTGATTGTAGCGGAGGGCTGGGAGGTTGTTTTTGCAGACGGGAGGCTCCATCTTCTCACAGTTGATGCGGTGGCTCTGCACCGTTACCGTGCCTGATGGGTTGCACAGCACTGAGTGACAGCCGTCTGGCAACAACCACGTCTCACCGGGCTGATGGAAAGAAATTATCAGGATAGATCATTAGATTTACAAACCAGAACATCAGGAGCCTTTGTTAGTCTGCGGTAGACGCTGCACGATTAATCGAAATAAAACCGAAATCACTAAATGGCTAAATGTCAAACAGAAAGGCTGCAATTTATTTGCATATAGTATATGTGCTGTGTGTTTCACAGTGAAGTGCTGCACTGTGTTCTTTTATACGCGAACAACTCATGATCCAGTATTTTCATTGTCTCAGAGCAGCTTGGCTCACAGTAAAACCATCTCGAACTCCATCTCTGCATCTGCTCTGAGTCATTTGTAACGGGCATTTGAAAACGCAACACACGTCAACCATCTTCCCAAACTTGTGAAGAAAAGTGCTTATAAACTGACACTGCGGTTTTCCACCAAAATACAAGCTTTATGGTTTAAAATTTGAAAATGAAAAAATTAAGACATCCAAAAATATTAGTTTTGTAATATTACAGTTTTAATGTAAAATAAAATAATAATTATTATAAATAATTATTAATACTTAAATAAATACTTAATTTTTTATTTTACAATGAAACATTATGAAAGTAATATTTCTTAGTTGATTTAAAATTTAATCTAATAATTATTTTATTTTACAATACAATTATTATTATTATAGTTATATTGATATATACTCGCATCATTTTTGGCCAAATTGTGCAACCCTACAAACAGGCACAGCAAGCCTGGAACTTTATAACCTGGAGTTTTATAGCACTCTAAATTGCAATTTAAGAAAAAGCCCAAAACAGCCAAAAAGTCGTGCAGCCCTAGGTAGGCTAAAACATACTATATGCAAGTAAGTGAACGCAAACACTTCTGTCTATGCAAGCAAGCTACTGTATGCATTTGTTGCATTCTGAAATGTGGTGCTATAGGGGGCATTAGCATAAACTTTCTTCTGTTGTCATTTTTCTCTTTCAGGACATCTGCTGTCAACAGTTGGTTTAAGCGTTGACATTTATAGCTAACTGTCTGAATAACGTCACATTGAGCTTTAATGGCATAAACATTTAAATGTAACTCTATCGCCCCCGAGTTCAGAGGTTAGCTACTGCCATTGCCACCCAAAAGTGCATGCTTGTAATGCATTGGCCTAGCATTCATGTTTGCGTACTTGCATCGAATATGTTACTAGCCTATTATTAAATTATTCGTTAGCGATCAGCTGTAGCTTAGGATTTTTGAGAGATGAAGTTAATGGCCCATAATGTCTGGTTCAGTGAAAATATGATGGATTCCGAAATCCAGTGAAAGACAGATTGTTCTTGGAAGGTTTGCATCAGATCAAGAGTTTGAATGGTAGAAAATCAGAAGCTGATGTAAATAAGTTGAGGTCTTTAATGGGAGTTTGATGGAATGATGGGAATGTTGCATCCTACTAAAACACAGCTCACCTTCCGTTCATTCCCTTCATCATCCACACACACTCCAGGAGGACCCGCTGAGGGACATCATCATCATCATCACCACCATCACCATAATCAAACTGCTACAGTATTCCTGTTTTATTGTGTTATGTGTGTGTATACGAGAGTCTCACCCCTACAGAGTTTGTCGGTGAACGACTGGTCGAGTGCAGCCATGGCGAGCAGGTACTCTGTGCTGCTGAGCCGAATGATGTTGTCCTGAGCGTGCCGTCCCGCGAGCGTGCTCAGTTCAGTCTGGTCATACTGGTTACCCAGCCCAATAGGAAACACTGACACACCTGTATGCAACAAACACGAGCTACTTGTAAGTCATAATGTTACGTAATTCAAATCATGAAAGTAGGATTTTAAATGCATAATATTATGTAGATAAAGTAGATATGTAATATTTACTAACAAAGAAATCTTTGGTATATTGCTGCATCAGCCCCAAGCTGTCATTAGTATGAGGACAATGGAGCAGTTATGTAAGAAATTGAATTTATTCATGAGAAGGAACAAGACAGACATTCAGGAAATTGCCTCTTTATACAATCTGAAGTAGCAACCGGTGGCTGACTGCACTTCACTTTGATGCTAAAGTCCTTATGACTTTATACTCATCATGACTTTAATCTAATAATGCTGTGATTTCATTTCATAATGCTACAACTTTATTCTTTAAACTTTATGATTTTTATTCCCATAAAAGGCCTGTTATGTTTTCAAAACATCATGATTTTATTCTCAAAATACATTTAGATTCAATTTTTTATTTTTTTTAATGTTAATATGACACTAAAATACGTTTGTAGTGACATGCTGTTGATTACAGCAGAAAATAATTTCAACTCATTCCTCTGCTTTAGACAACATCTCAAAAATATTTTTTTGTACATAGTAAAGAAGTAAAACCAATCAAGCATGTTTAAAACTGAATAAGCTTAAAAATAAATCACATTTCATACATACAGTAACATTTTTTAAACAAAAATACAAGCTGCACGGTATTGCTTTTAAATCTGGAATATCTTGCCCCATAGACATTATGCATTACTGTAAACAGGCTTGTTTTACAGTCTGAGGGAATTTAAATTGGAGTAGAAATCAACAATGTACCATTGATGCTGTTAATAATGTTACATTTCTATTAACTCCTGAACATTACTTTAAAGACCACTTAAAAGAGTGCATTGATAAAGCGGTAAAACAATTTCACCCACCAGCGGTCAGAGCCTCGTTTGCTGCCTCTTGCACTGAGTCTATTGACCTGTCTGTCACCACCATAACCACAGCTTTAGGGATGCCCATCCGTCCCCCGCTGGTGGAGGAAATGGCTGTCTGCACGGCCAATCTCAGTGCAGCTCCTGCAGAGACAGAGGAAGGACGCCCACATTTATGTAGCGTGGTGTATATTTTAACTGTCAGGCTGTACTGTAGCTGTTGTGTCTTCACGGCATGTTTACCTAGTCTTGGTGTGTTGTCTGTCTTGCTGTGTAAGGTTTCTAAAAGCTTGAGAAGGTTGTCTTCTGTCTGTTCATCCCTCCATGTGACAGCAACTGCTGATTTTGCCCCATACACTATCACCGCCACCTGTGTGTCATTGCGACCTGCAACACAGATAAGCACAACTCTAGAAGTAACCATTATAATGTATATATAAAAAAAAAATATATATATATATATATCTTATTGAGACTTACCGATATTTGTGCCCTTTATAAAGGTTCTCACAAATGTTTTGAAGTCTTCAAACTGGTTATCAGAAGAGGCTCTCAGCAGGAACAGCACGTCCATGGGCTTTGAACACGGCACTGATCAAACACACACACAGATAGAATTACAAAGAAAGCATGTATGTATTCACTCCTTCAGCATCTATGCATTGACTATCCTTGCATTCAACAACTAGAAACGGCAAAATTCTAATATCAGCTTGAGCTTTGCATGGGTTACTAGGAAAGTGATAAATGGTTGCTAAGGTGTTCTATGTGGTTTCTAGGCTGCTCTGGTTAAGTAAGCAGTTACTAGATTGTTGCTAAGGTGTCATGAGTGGTTGCTGGGCCATTGCTAGGGAGTTCTGGATGGTTACTAGGGCATTCAGAGTGGTTGCTACATTGTTCTGAGCGGTTGCTAGGCAGCAGTTGCTAGATACTTGCGACAGTGTTCTGTGTGATAGCTAGGCTGTTGCTAGGGTATTCTGGCTGGTTGCTAGGGCATTCGGAGTGGTTGCTAAAGTAATCTGAGATGTTGTTGTTTGTTAGGTAGTTGCTAGACAACTGCTCTACTGCCACTGACTAATCCAAATCCAATCATTTTTGATAATTTTCTGTACAAAAGCATGTTTTTGCATCATTTGTCAGCCAATTTCCACTCTAATTGAGAGAATTACATTATTCCATTGTTCCACAGCAGTCATTCTCTCTGCTGCCTGACTGTTCCTTTAGCAATTTAAAAGAAAGAACATAGTAGGGCTACACAATTAAATAAAATTGAAATCATTATGGTTTAGTGCAGCGGTTCTCAACCTCAGCAAACTTCGAAGAGGGCCTCAAGATGACTTAACATTATAAAATAAAATAAGATAAAACATCATTAAAACAGCTAAACAACAAAAAAATCAACATATTTCTTATGTTAATTCATTCAACTATTTTTTTCCTTAGAAGAACCAGGGTTCCCCCAGTCTTGGAAAACCTGGATATATGCAGTAGCCTAATTTTAAAAGCGAGTAAAAAAAAAAAAAAAAGAAAATTAATTAAATTTCATAACTCCATATGCATTTTTATATATAATATAAAAAAACAAATTTTTGTGATTATTCCAAGCTCTAAATACTTTATTGAGTAACAGATATTATTACAAACATTTATTTAAAAAACAACAACATTTAAATCCTAATCCAGTAAATCATAAACAACTGAAAAAGTCATGGGGTCTTTGAATATTATTGTTAATAATGGAGGGGCCTTGGAGTCATAAAGGTTGAGAACCACTGGTTTAGTGTGATTATCAAATCGCAAAGTCAAATTTTTACTGTTGTAAAGAAAAATTATATTTATTTATTTATATATATATATAAATTTTTGCATTGTTACATTCATATTTTATTATTAATTATTATTAAAATATGTTAATTATTAATAATCATAAATATGATTAATTATTATTTTACAGTTATATTGATATATCACAATATTTTGGCCAAATTGTGTAGGCCTACAAAAAAGCACAGCAAACCTAGAGCTTTTTTCTTAAGTTAATTTTTTTCCCCTAAATGGTGCAGCCCTAGAATGTGACAATATGCTAAAAGAGTGTAGCGTTGTTGTTGTATCTGACCTGAAGGGGGCAGCGTAGCTCTGGGTGGCAGTGTGGGCAGCACAGGCCTTCTGATGGTTTTACTGATATTGATCAGCATGGGCCGCAGTATCTTAAGATCCGAAGGATTATCCAGCATGATCGGTTCATCCGGGAAGCTCAACTGCACCAGATCCTCATATCGAATCTGTTGGCCGATCCCAATCGGATACACTTTTTTATGAGCGGAGCTCGGAGGCCGCTGAATGACGTCCGTCGGAGGGCTCTGTGTGATGAGAAACACCATCTGGTCTGGCGTATTACTGGGTGTGTCTGTAGTGACAGTCTCATACACAGAACGAATGGCGTGGCCTGTGTTGACCTCCACACCTTTGGTCCAACGTAATTGTCGCATTCTTTGCAACACCTGCTCCCTGTGCTGCAATTCCATGCGGCTGATTACCACAGTAACCGTGAAGGAGTACTGCACCACTGTGATCCGTAGATTCTCCACCTCTTTTTGATCAAGCGAAGCAACGACATCAACCAAAGCATCACGTGTTTTATTGAAGCCCTCCTCGCCAACTGCATCTGAGCTTTCCAACAGGAAGACGACCTCGTATGTTGTTACTGTAGGTGGAGGAAATGTTGTTCCAGGGCTGGGGATGCTGGGAAATGTGTTTACAATGGCAGCGGTTGGCGGAATCGTGGCGGGAGTGAGCTTAGAGGTGGCGGTAGTTGTTGGGGTGACTGAAGTGGTGCTGGGCTTTGTGGTAGAGGGTTTCTTTGGGGGTTCAGGATCCAATCCCAAAGTGCAGAGGTAGTCCGTGATGGCCAGAGCTTCATCGTCCAGCTCCGACACGCTGCTCACCACGTATGAGCGACTGCTGGGTGTGGCTTTCGTGATCTCATTAACCTGTGCCATGTTGACGTCAGGCCCTAGAGCCACCGTGAGGATGGTGATGTCTTTTTTACGCAGCAGACGCTGTGTACTACGCATGGGCCGAGGATTTGCACTCGCCGTCAGCAAGATAGCGACGCGGCCCGCATGCTCGCGCTTGTTTTTATCGTAAATGTAGACGGCTAGATATTTTATGGCCTCGTCCATAAACGCAACATCGCCTCCGCTGTAACGCAGATCACGCACCATCTTCTTGAAGATCCACTTCTGCACCTGCATGTCGTAACTTTTCACACCGGAGTGGAAGAGCAGGACCGTGGCGCGAGTATGGGCCGAACCCATGCGGAAGCGCTCCACCACACGGAGGATGAAGAGCTTGACCAAGCCGAAGTCTTCTTCACTCAGAGCAGAGGAGCCGTCCACGAGGAAGGCTAGGTCCATCGCTCTGTCGCAGGCATCGGCAGGCACCGGGGTGGAAAACGGGAGCGGCGTCGGGGTGTTGCTGACGGTGGTTGGTGTTAGTGTGGAGGCGAAACCAGTTACAGGACATGGGCCGCACGTCAACGTGTTGCTCTCACAGTGACTGAAAACATAACAAACATGACAATATTATACACTTAAATGGATGAATTAAAAAAAATTATATATTATAAAATTAAATAATGTTTACAATTATTTTCATGACAATTAGCCACAATTCTCATTAATTTAATGTGGAAAATTCTATATATTAAAATGGAACACACGTTTAAATTATAAAATAAATATTAATAAAATATTTAAATAATATTGTGTATTATTAATATACTTTGTGTCTTTGTGTGTATCAGAAAGAGCTTTATTGTGTGAATATCTGTGCTGTTATTGATAGCAAACTATTGAAAAATGTTTGTTAATTGAAATAAGATAATAAATGAAAACATTTATTATATATATTTTTATAAAATAAAATATAAATATTAGAAGAAAACATCTGAAAGAAATGTTGCCTTGGCAACTAACTGAAATAAAATTAACTTAAGTTGAAGTACCGACATGACTAAAACCAAAACTAAACTAAATAGAAACTAAACTAAACTACATTTAAAAAAGTAATACAAATGACAAAAGCACATAATAAAATTACTAAAGCTTAAACTGAAAATATAACATAAAAATTAATAAAATAAAATATAAATAAATACTAATAAACATTATAATAGTATATAAATATATATAATACTATATAATAAATAAATAATGTCATTTACTTTTAAATTATAAAATATTTAAACATCATGATTCATAACTCATCATTCCAGAGAATGATATTGAATGATATTTTTGCTTTACAGTAATGAAAATTTGTGATGAAATCATGAAAATAATGTAAAAATGTAAAACAATTTAATGGTCCTAGCAACAACAAAAATTGTCTTATGTAATATTTACATTTTTTCAATTCAATTTTGGGATTAAAACTTTTCTTTGTGAGATTCTCCCACACACTGCATACAACAATGAGCAATTGAGATTATAAACAGAGCATGGCGTACCATATCTGGCAGAGATGAGGATCGTCATGGTTAAGGATGAACTGTTTTCCATGGGAGATTCTCTCTCCGTCATGCACACACACCTGACACTGTGACAGTTGCACACACTTCCTCAGCACCTCATCTAAAACTTGCCCTGAGGGACAGAAGCAGACAGAATGTGTGAATGAAAGTGAACTGGAAGTCTATGAAGTCAACTTACTTGCGAGTATGTGTGAATTGGCGCTACCTGATGGGCAGACAGCATGGCATCCCTCCACACATGTGATGGGACAGCTCAGAGGCTCAGGGTGCTGGCAGGTGGGAGGGCAAGCGCTTCCACAGGCGTTATATCTCCACTCACACTCAACCCCTGCGTCCTTATTCAACTCCTCACAGCTCAGTGCTGCAAGTAAACAGTCAGTTACAACACACTGTTCTACAATATGACTTACAGCAGTGTTTCTCAACCAGGGGTCCGTGGACCCCTAGTGGTCCTTGACATAAGGCCAGGGGGTCCGTATAAAGTATACATTTTTGTATAAATTTTGTATATTTTGACATGACATGTTCCCATGAAAGAAAAATCCAATATAGCTGATGATATGGCCAAATACTGGACAAGTCAGCTAACTTGAATTATACTTGACTGCATTTGGTCCTCACAAAGACACAAATGATACGAGTCAATTTTGTTCTGGGGGTCCTTGAGGATGGTTCTGAATTGGACTGGGGTCCGGTACGCCAAAAGGTTGAGATTCACTGACTTACAGTACATAGCATTATTTTGCCCCTTGGGATTAAAGGGCTAGTTTAACCATCAATAAAAATTTGTTCTCACCGGGCTCAGAAATTAGCCAACATTAGATATTTGTCATTGCATTTACGCCTATACAGTTTACAGTAGTTTTATGTATTTATATAATTGTATTTAATTCTATGTATTTATAATCTGTATTTAATGTATTATTATAGGCCTATACCATTAGCAACAGAGTTCTATATATTTTTATTTCCATAAAACTTCATTTTTACATTCACACACACACACACACACACACACACACATATATAACATAAAAATAATTACATAAATCATTTTAACTCTAAAATTCTCAGCTAAAAATTATTCAGAAATAATTTTTTGTTCATAAAGTTTTTCAAAAATAATTTTCCAACTCTAAAAAATATATATATTACAGTTAACTAGCTAAATCTGACAAAAAAACACTTTTGAGGATATGCTCGAAAAAATTAAAATGATCCATAAATAATTGTTTATTTACCCATTTTGATAAAAAAACAACTCTTAAATCTCACAAAAACTGGAAATGCTAAAATTAGTTTTGCCCTTTAATTTGCTATTAATAAAAATCATATTTTCACAACACAACTATTTAACAGTTTAAAAGACTTGGAGCACTGTGAATGATTGATTTTAACTACTTTTAGGGTACTTTTACCGTTTACCGTCCTTTTTGGTGCTTGAGAGCTTTTATAACCATCCACTTTTATTGTTTAAAAGAATATGAACATTCATGTACATGAAACGACATGTGGGTGAGTAAATGAGTAGTGAAACTTACGGCACAAGTCGTTGGACCTCCAGTTCACCACCAGTCCCTTCTGAGCGCACTCGTGAGCATAGGCAGCAATAGTGTTACAGAAACATGCACAATCACCCACAGACGGACACGAGCATGTGTCATGAGTACAGATGTCCCAGTACGGCTCAGGGTCCACCTGACACAGACAGAGAAATCATTTTTTTTAAAAAGCGTAAGCAATAGGAGTAATGAACACATGGCAATGTATTTTCGTCGTTTTAATTGTGACTGTTAGAGTATAAATGTTACCAACCACACTATTGCACTCCCTGAAAATGGTGCTGGTGAGCACACGGCAGGACTGCTCCACCGTCACCAGCTTCACCATGTCTGTGCTGCACTGAGACACAACCTGCACACAGACGTCAAAATATGAGGTCATTTTATGCCTCTATATTCTGAGCCGCTGTAAGAATACACTCTAGTTTAGGCTGTGATGGCCATGAACTCACCGGAACAGCGTCAGCACAGCTGGGTCGAACTTTCCACGAGTTTCCAAAGTCTGCAGCGTCCACCTCCATCTGATTACTGCTGCTCAACAGGTCATTATTCTGAATGGCATCAAAATTTCCACAAAGGCCACAGACTTTCCCCTTAAACACACATACATAAACTTATTTTAAGCTTATTCTTAATTTCTCAACTGTAAACCCTTAGAGAAGCAATTTGTGTAAGCAGAGAATGTGTGTGTTTCATGTAACTGCACTATGGAAACAACTTGGGTTTGTTCCAATTCTGGAACATTTTCAAAGGTAAAAATTATTTATAAATCATATTTAATTCATACATTTTGATTCATAAATGATTTTTGAACTCAGGGTTAGCTTTTTGCTAAATATTACATATCACTTTGGGGACATACCCAAATATATAATAAATCATTTTTTAATAGTTTTTTTTCTTTATTTAACCAGTAAAATCTGACAAAAACCCAGGTAGAAATAATTCCTAAATCATATTTTATTCAAACATTTGGATTCAAAAATAGTTTCTAAATCTAAAATATTTTTTACTTTTTAGAGTGAACTTGACAAAAACTCACTTTTGAGGACATGCTCAATGGTAAACAATTATTCATAAAACATTCATAAAATTAGATTTATAACTCCTTTTCATTCATAAATGTCAAAAACAAAGATAAAAATTCATTCATAAATAGTTTTTATTCATAAAATTGGATTCATAAATAAAATTTTAATTTTAACTTAAAATGATTTTTAATTGAGTTAACTCTTGCTAAAATTATTCATAAATAACTTTTTAAACAATTAATAAAAAAAATCTATGGTATGTGCTCATTTAGATAGCTAGGCAGATGTTCTCGCGCGTGTGTGTGTGTGTGTGTGTGTGTGTGTGTGTGTGTGTGTTACCCTGTACTGTCCATTGATCTGCAGTGAGATTCGGGTTCCTGTGTCCCAGGTGATGGAGATGTGTTTACCCAGAAGGATGATGTAATACTGTCCCGAGCGCACAATCTCAACCGCTGTCTCTTTCAACACAGGCCTCTTCATCCTCACCTAAAGAAAAAGAGGACAACAGAGTCAGAAAGACAAAACCTGTATGCTTTCACTTCACATATAATGCTTACAGTAAGTAATATTTGTTAACATGGTGGAAGAATAATAGAATCAGTGTACTATACAAAATATGTTCTATATTTAAGTAGCAATTATTTAATCACAACCTTTCTGATATTGTAAGTGTGATTTTTTTTTAATACAACAGATATTTATTTATTTAAATAATATTATATTTTAATTTCAGACTCAATATGACCAACAATTTCCAACAAAAACAGCTGTTGCTGTATTGTGTGTTGACAAGTCAGCATCCAGGACTAGATATGTTTTTTAATGTAAAATATAACTCGCTGAAAGTGTTTTACCTCGTTGTGTTCCATGACAATCAGTCCGCCCATGTACATCACTGTGATGCTTTTACTGCAGCGGTAGCCTGCGATCCCACAAGCAGAGTTCTCCACCAGAACCCTAAACGTGCCGTCCACCCCGTTACAGTAATCCTGCTCAGACAGACAGAAGAATGAGGGAAAACAGGAGAATATGAGGGACCGAGGAGGAAAGAGAGCAAGAGAGAGAGAATATTGGCTTTACCTGAGCTAGCACGTATTGGCAAGGTCCAGGAAATGAGAACTTGAGTCCATCAAAGCTGATGTAGTGTGTCTCTCCTATCACACGACACACACCGTCACACACACGCTGCGTACACTTCCACTGACGCTTCTCACAAACACTGGGACACAAAAGGAAATGTAATTGTAATAGAATGATCGGAATGTTTATACTTGTCATCTGATGTTTGCAACAAAATGACATTACAGTGTCAGGATGAGCCCTGATTGGCTGATTTACCAGGTGTTGCAGTCCACATTAATGCTCTGTCCTGAGGCATAGGGACGGTTGTTATGGTAACAAGGGCACTGGTCTTGGGGAATGCATTCTTTTTTGTGTCGAACCTGCAAACAGCCATTAAATCAATCCTTATAGCTTCCACAGTATAATCCATTAAAAAGTTGCAAACTCAACTTTTTCAGATATTAAAATATAAATTTCTTATGATGTGCATTCCTGATATAAACTGTGCTCCTGCTGCAGGCATTTGACATACTATATCAAACTTCACACATGAGTTTATGTATTTGGAAGATGTAATGACGTTCATATGTAAAATGTTGATTGATAGAAAGTTCAAAAGTGTCACTGAGGACTGGATTAATGATGCTGAAAATTCAGCTTTGCATCACAGGAATAAATTACATTTTAATACATATTAAAATAGAAAACAGTTATTTACAGTCATTTAGTTTTGATCATATAAATGCAGCCTTGGTGAGAATAACTTCTTCATTCAGTTGAATGGTAGTGAATTTTTCAAAAGTATTTTCAGAAATATTTATGAAAACAGTGAAAAGTTGTAATTAATGTAGTATAGATAAGGAAACGTAAAGCTGATCTGATCTGAATTGACCAGTCCTAGTATGTTGAAGTCCTGGTTCATGAATATTAATGAGTTTCATTAATGTAAACATAATCGATTTTGACAAGAGAAATGTCAAACAGTTCGTCGCTGTGTTTCCTAATGTTCACTCTCTCACTTACCATTCCAGGTGGACACATACAGCCAGACACACATCCCTGACTGACACACTCCAGGTCCAGATTCTGGCAGGTCTTGGCACACTCTATCCCAGGATCCCTCACACTCTCACACTCAAACCGTTGCAGTGGAGGGGGACAAGTGATAGAGCGCCGTCCTACAGGTGAAAAACACACTCAATTAATTCATTATATGTATGTATTATATGTATACTGTATGTACTTGTCTGAGCCACTTGACAATATTCTGTCCACTTGTGTGTCACTGATGTGCAATTGTGCTCCATTAGAAGTGCACAGAGATACGAAAGTGAGGAGGAATACCTCTTGAAGAAGAATGTTCGTCAAAGAAGAGGTCAGACAGAGTAGATCCACTGGCTTCATTAGAAGTGCATTGCATGGATCCACTCTCGCATACACTACAAGAAAACATACACAGAAAAACATTAACACTGACATTTAAAACAATAATAAACACACACACACACACACACACACACACATATATATATATATATATATCAAAGAAAGCTTATGTGCATCTGTATGATAAATAACTGTGATGTTTTTTCCTGCTAACCAGATGGAGTGATGGTCCCCAATCATGTCGTTAGGCTCAAAGATCTCTCCGTTATGGTGGCACGAGCAGTGTTCGGGGGGCACACACTCGCCCGCGTCGCTGAGGAAGAGTCCTCTGGGGCAGAAACAGCCTTCCTCACAGAAGCCTCTGCAATCACCGTCAGGCAGCGACAGAGAGCGGCATGTCTGATTACACACGCTCCCACACACCTCATACACCTGGTCATCCGGACAGGTCAGTTCTGCCCAAACACACACTAAATAAATTATCTTAATAAGTGCTCACTAAGGCTGATCTAAAATACAGTAAAAACAATAATAATGTGAAATATTACAATTTAAAATACCTGTTTTCTATTTTAATATACAATGTAATGTCATGTCATGTAATATAGATGTACTAAAGATGTATATATATACAATATATATAATAAGTCTTTGTCAGTTTTGAACAATTTAATGCATCCTTGCTGACTGTAAGTATTACTTTCTTTCAAAACAAATTATATATATATATATATCTCTCCGTTATGGTGGCACGAGCAGTGTTCGGGGGGCACACACTCGCCCGCGTCGCTGAGGAAGAGTCCTCTGGGGCAGAAACAGCCTTCCTCACAGAAGCCACCACAATCACCGTCAGGCAGCGACAGAGAGCGGCACGTCTGGTTACACACACTCCCACACACCTCATACACCTGGTCATCTGGACAGGTCAGTTCTGCCCAGACACACACACACAAACACACACACACACACACACATTTGCTCTTCTGTCCTGAAGGAGACCTTCCATTGACTTTTATTATGTAAACCTTTAAAATGCATTTTTAGATTTTCAATAACACATTATTTAGTATGTTTATTCAGCTGTTTTGCTGTCTTAACATGCAATACACTGCAAAAAATGATTTTCTTATTCAGTATTTTTGTCTTGTTTTCAAATACAAATATCTAAGCATTCTTAAATCAACATGCATTTACGTTAGAAGCATGAGTCAACTTGTTTGCTTTGAAAAAGATACTTATTAAAACAAGAAAAATTAAAAAAATTACTTTCCAAAAAGTAAAAAATATATTTAAATTAGTTACATTTTAATTTATTTGTAATAATACATTAATCATAATTTAATAATATATGATTAATATATTTTAATAATAGATTTAATCATTTAAAATAATTTTTCTTACCACATTGGCAGATTTATTTTTATTCTGTGATATAGATTTTTCATGTTGTAATCACAAACTTACATAATTTTGATATATATTTCAGATAACAAGACATAATATCTTCTCTTCAAGTTCTCTATTTCAGAATGAAGATATATTTGTACTGAAAAATAATATTAAATAATATAAAATACTAAGAAAAAATAAAATACTAAGAAATAAAAACATATTTCATATGGCATTTAAACACAGAATGAGAAATACCACAGTATCCATGTCCCCTCCAGTTGATTAGCACTCCCTTGGCTGCGCAGGCGGCTGCATAGCTGCGAACAGCATCACACAGACAAACTTGGCCGTCTGTGCAGGAGCAGACGTCATAGCGGCAGTTTTTTACATATGGCTCAGGGTTGACCACATAATGACAGGGCACAAACTTCACAGAAAGCAGCACGGCACAGGCCTCTTCTGCAAAACGTACTGTAGACACAATACGACACGTTACCTAATGGCCTTTGTTGCCCTCTGGTATTCAGTGCATATATAAATCATGATTTCATACTCGCAGCATTCAAATTGAGATGATAATTCCTAAAAGTGCATTTATACTCTTTAAATATGCATCTTTACAGGGTTGTAACTGCCATTCATTTGTGTTTTTGAATGAAAATTCTTAAACTTTTACATGTGGTGCCCCTGATTTTGAATATTTGTTCATATACATGTATCTGTATGAGTGTGTGAGTGTTTATACCTCTCTTAGGGTTTAAAATACAGGGATCTGAGGGTTGCAATTGAACATTGTCACAGTCTGCGTTCATCTTCCATGCGTTGCCGAATCCTTCGACGCGTGTCTCCACCAGCCCGCCCACTGTTAAGAAGTCGTCTCCTTGGTTACCATTATAATTACCGCACAGACCGCACGTTTTCCCAGCATAGGCTGGGTTTAGCTGCAAACACACACACAAATGCTCTCATATCAGAATTGCAACACAGGAGTATTTTCACACGCAGACTCTATTATATGCGCATGGGAATTATTTATACACATTATTTTCAGCACCTAAAGCTCCCAGCTTTCTCAGACACACAACATCTGATCCTGACTGCTGGAAATTCAGTTTTTAAGGTGGTAGATTGTTTTACAGGGTTTCTGGATGGTCGAAGGTGGTCGTTAGCTAAATCAAACTGGTTTAGGTAATTGAAAGAAGATGCTTAGCAGAATGTTCACGCTGCTCTTTTCCATACAGTGAAAATGAATGGAAACGGAGGCTATCAAGCTTCAAAAAAGACAAGAAAACACCATAAAACTGATATCATAGTTATTATAAAGGTGGTCCATTAAACTGTATTCCAATGTGTCTTGAGGTGCTATATTTGAATGTATTCCAGTATAAATCCATAACAAAACATATTGGGCATTTCCTCACACAAAACAATCATATGGCTTCAGAAGATTTTAAATACAGCGCAAAAGTAATGTGCACCCCTTTTATACATTTATGGTGCTTTTTTATCATTTAAGGAGCTTGACAGCCTCAGTTAATATTCATTTTTATTCTGTGATATAGAGCTGTCAGAATTTTCTTTTTTTATTTCATGTAAAAACGTAAGTCTCACAGGTTTGGAATGACATGAGAGTAAATAAATGATCAGTGTTATTATATTAGTATTTTTTTATATATACTATTATAGTATTCAGTAATATTTTGAATTACCTTTCATTTTCATATTTTCATTTTTTATTTGAATTTTAGGGTCCATTTTGCTGCTTTTGTCGTTTTTATTTTTATATTTAATTTAGCTGTATATTTGTTGAGTTAGTTGGCAAGGCAACATTTCTAATTGTCATTTCAAGTTTTTACATTTTTCATCTAATATTTCTATTTTAATTTGTTTCAACATTTTGAAATGACCAATTAAAATTTTTTTAACAGTTTAAGTTTTTAATTTTAGTTTTTGATAACAATAGCAACACTAATGATGACACAATTTGAATTTATTAGGAAAACTTTTCCTTTAACCTGGTTAGAGCTGGTTGAGCTTGACCATGTTAAGCTGGTATAGCCTGGTTTTCCCAGCAGAACACACTTACTCTGAGCAAAACACGTCCTCTGCCATCCCAATCCAGATGTAGATCGTCACCATAACTCAGTCTCACAGATGACAACACAGTATTCTGAACTCTTAATGCACCTACACACACACACACACACACACACACACAAACGCATTATTGTTATGTGGTGCTATGATTTGTACACCTCTATTTTATTTGAAAAAAAAAAAGGCATCTGTATGTTCTGTGTATTTCATGCTGACAGACCATTAATTAGGGGTGTCTTCACGTCCATTCCATCCACAGAGACCACGCCCCCATGCTTGAGGCGAACCGTCTGATTGGGCAGATCATGGAACCTCAGTGTAATTGATCGTGTGCAGACGGCATCTTGGTCATCAGCACACTTGAACAGAAAAATACAAACATAAGCACACATCCTAACAAACAAGGACAAGTGTATATACCATAGGGAAGATTTCAGACCTGTGCAGTCTCAGTGATGACAGAAAAGAGTTGCTCTGGACAGTCTTTAGCCAGCAGATATTGACAAATACCACTGAAGGTGAAGAACTTATTGTCAAAGGTCTTATAATGGGACTGTCCTGTCACCAGACACTCCCCTAAGGAGAGACAGAACAAGAAACCGATTAGAAAACAATGTTTGTAAAAAAAAAAAAAAAAGAGTATTTTTTTGTGTATTTTTGTGTAAAAAAGTATTTATTTCAATAAAATCTAATTCAAAATATTAACAAAAACTATATAACTATAACTATATTATAACTCCATAATATATATATAAATCAATAATAATAAAATAACAGTATACTATTGTAATGTTTGCTAATTGAGGCATTCAGAAATATTTAATGTCAACATGAAACTGCATTTTCTACACATTTTTGTGTCATAGTGTGACATATTTCCTGGTGAAATAGGATATTTTGTATTTCTTATTAGAATGGAGCTGGACTGACATTACATTAAATTAATAGTTAAGTTACAAATTCACATTTACCAGGGCATTCTTCATTGGTACATTCCCATGATCCATGGCGACAGACGCTAAAAGTTAAGGTCAGTTAAGTTAAGACAATGTGTACAGATACAGCAGCCACAAATATTTGAATGCATTGTTTTGTAATGTGCACGTATGTGTATTTGTGTGTGTGTGTCCCACCATGTGTTGCAGTCCTGCGATATGGAGGAAGCAGGAGGGTATCGGCGTCCCGCATGCATGCAGGAGCATTGAGAGACATCAACACAACGATCTCCATCCAGCACCTTACCCGCTGACACACACATTTCACACATTCAACACTCAGCAGAAAAAGGCACTCTACAAAAATAACCATTCGTGTGGGTCTTGTTTTTCAGTAGAAATATCTAAAGATAAATGTACCTAAAATGCAAAATTTCAAAAGATTGCATCAGAGAAAATGTCATTTATTCCTGAATTTTTAAAGCTGAATTTTCAGCATCATTACTCCAGTCTTCAGTGTCACATGATCCTTCAGAAATCATTCTAA